GCTGAACATTGACTTGATGACAGTTTATTTGCAATTTATTTTTTGTCCTTCTACCTGGCTTAATTGCAAGTGTTTATTGAATTAATACTTGTTCTCTTTGGACAAAACTATAAGAAATTGAATAAAATTCAAATGCAGGCTGTATAAATGTATACATTTGGCATGCTTGCAGACAGAAAAAAATCATCTGTATTTTATTCAACACTGAAAAAAATGCTATCAACTTTACATGCTTTTGTATCAATGTGTGACACTTTATCAGAGGGTGACCTAAGCCTTCACTTTTTTGTAAAGTCAATGGAGACAGTAATGAGCTGAAGGAATATGATGATTCAGCTTAGTGTACTTCATTAAACATTACTCTGTTGTTGAAATTTTTACTTCTGAAATAATTTTTCTTAAATATGTAATTAGAAAAGAACTGTATGTTACAGACCTTTTTTTCCTATCTGAAAGTTCTATTCAATAACTTTCCGCATTTTCCTTCCCACAGTCACATACTTTTAATTATTCTAGTTGACACGTACATGCCTTTTCATTGATCATGAAAGATTTAATAGGCACTGTCCATTTGAATCAACAGAACTGCAGACCTCCTTATTAATCAGAATGGTGTATAAAGACCCAATTCAGAAAAATATACTTAACATGTCCTGTCTACAGTGATTCTTTCCTTCCCAGAATAAAAAAACACTTCCCTTCTTATTATCTGTATATTTCACAGCTGGCAAAGTCACTAGGTTGATTGTAAGATACCTTCAGGTTTGCAATCAGCTCAAACACATAATTAGGCTGAAATCCTGGTGTTAACAACTGGATCATGAATAATTATGCTGTGGATTTCACTGGGGTAAGGGTTTTACACCCAGTCTCTTTTTCAGAGCTTTCCCTTTTCTGTATTTTTTAGATTACTGTTATTGAATTAGCTATTTCTCTTTGAGTTTCAGTCAGAATTTATTCCCCAACTTCACTAGAGGTTTTTAATTTTGTAAAGTCACCTTTATGGAGTCCTAGACAGAAATGGGGCTAATAAGTAAACCAAACTTTTACAACGTCCAGAACAGAGAACTGATCCTACCAAATAATTTTTCCCATAGTGTAGTCCTTTCTGCACGTCCAACTGCGTCTGATCGTTCCCCGTTACTCCCTGGCCATAATATCTATCTGGTTTTGCCTTTGAAAAGTTTGTGTAAAGAGTCAGTTTGTATAAAGAGTTCAGGGCAGAGTGCATGGAGGGATAGGGGGTAGAGGTTGGAGGAATTAAGGAGTGGACTAGTGAGATGTCATGTTGTAGGTATGAATACAGATTGTAAACACTAGAGCTAGAGGCATACTTTCTTATGCGCTGTGTGGCGCAGTCAGCTCATGACGCATGTGTGAAAAAACTTTTTTGTGGTCTTGTCCTGATGAACAATTCTGTTAGACTTCTGCAGTTACATGGACTTGTTGGAGCTAGCCAGGGGAGGGCCACAACAGAAAGCTGGAGTACCTCTCCTATAAAGACAGGCTGAGAGAGTTGGGGTTGTTTGGTCTGGAGAAGAGAAGGCTCATGGGGAGACTTTATAGCAGCCCCCTAGCACCTGAAAATGGCCTACAAGTAAGCTGGTGAGGGACTTTTTACAGCGATGTGTAGCAACAGGACAAAGGGGAATGGTTTTAAGCTGAAACAAAGTAGATTCAGATTAGATATTTGGAAGAATTTTTTTCCTGTGAGGATGGTGAGACACTGGACGAAGTAACTAGGGAAGTTGTGGATGCCCCATCCCTTGAAGTGTTTAAGATTGTATTCACACAGCATTGCTTTATCTTAATTGTTGGCATGCTTAGCAAAATTGTTGTTTGTCTTCATTCCAGGATTGCAGTGTAACCAAGTGTTGTTGTTTGTTTTTTTTCTTTAAGAGCTGCCTGAGACTACCCTAATTGAAGAGGAAGTTCAAGAGACGGAGACATGGGCCAGGCCTCTGGTCTACCTTTGGCAGACTAGAGTACCCAGTTTCAATGCTGAAAAAGAATATAATGCAGCTTGTGCAAAAAAGGAACCACACTGTGCCATTTGCACTCTTCTTATGCCTTACTACAAGGTAAGCAAGAGCCTAACAGCACAGTCTTTGTGTGAAGCATGAAATAGCTGCCACTTATTTCCAGTAAATTAGAATAGGATAAGCTTATGCATTTGATTTGTATGAGAAGTAAATAAACTCACAATTGTTTAAATTAAAGCTGCGTTCACTTGTGTCTATCCTTGGTTACAGACAATGTATGCCTTCTGCTAGGGTGTATGTGTGATTGGTGTCAGTGTGTGCTTGCCCTTGGAAGTTACACTTTTGGAGGTGGTGAATCCACATAGGTTTGTGTGTTTTCACTATTGTCTTATATGTCCGTCTTCAAATGCTTTTTATCAGAACCTCTTCTATGTCTTCTTTCCACAATGTTGAAGAAGTAAGTGTTTTCACAGTACTTGGGCCTTCTTGGGAACAATAGTCCTATGAAAACCGTCTAGTGCAGAGCACTGTTTGATACTGGCTTCTGGAATTCCTGTGTCAAATGCCAGCTAAAAATGCTGTCATAAAACTATGGTATTAATTTTGAAACTGTTAAACTTGAAACTCCTCAGCATGGGAACTAGGAAGAAAATTCATATTTCACTGGACCCAAAGGGCTCAAAGGGAGGCAGAGTACCACTGAACACAGCTACAGTAACACTAGTTTGCAGGCTGTATGCAATGCTAGATTTCACACTTACTTGAATGATCGGGGAACTATAGAATGACCGTGATAGACACATAGAAGCAGCTCATTTTCTTGCAAAGCTCTTACATTTTTAATGCAATAACTGGGAGGGGAGAATTCATTTCATCATTGTCAAAAGGAAGAATAAGACAGACTCTCCTTTCTTTTACTTAAATATAAATTTTGTTTATTTTCTAGCCAGACAATCATGATGAAGAAAGTCCTACTTTTGGGGAAGCAAACTCAGCAGAAACATTGATGGATGAAAATGAAAAGACTAAACCTCTTATTCCAGAAATGTGTTTTATTTATAGTGAAGAAAACACTGAAAACTATCCATCAAATGCCTTTATCGAAGAAGATGGGACAAGTCTTCTAATTTCCTGTACAAAGTGTTGTGTACGGGTTCATGCAAGTAAATAAACTAATTGTTTAGTTTGCAAAAAGTGATCTCAAATTTTGTTTTTTTGGTAAATAATAACTAAGATTTTAGTCTGTCTTTAAAAGTACTTGAAGAACATTTCCATATGTAATGCTTCAATCACAGAATTTTTTTTAAAACTATGTTTTCTTTTACTTGTTAATGACTGTTGTGAAAACAGTGAAGAGTTAACTTTTCTGTAAACTTTCAATAATCAGAAACTTCTGATTCTGGTTTCTATTCTGAGCTGTTTAATTCCTCTTTTACTTCTCATATCTTCAAACATTGTATGATGTTAGTATGTCCTTATTAGTAGTCAAGGTGAAATCATGCTGAATTTGAGGATTGTGAATATTGCTATTGGCTTTAAGTATGCAATAATTCCCTTCACCTTGCATTCCTTTTTATTTCAAAAGTGACTGCTGAATGCATGGATTTTTCTGCAGTATCATCTACAGACACTAGGAATTGAATAGTTAACTGTAAGACGTCCATGTGAAATTCTTACATGGAAGTGCAGTATAATTGTATAGAATAAATGTCAGTACATTAATTGAAAGTGTTCATTTTTTAATGCAGGAGAATTGATGATAATGTTATTGCACTGATACAAAATAAGGAATTCCCTGGGGGTTGATTTTTTGGGGATTTAGGGATTTTGTTTTTTATTGTTTTGATTTTGGTTTGATTTGGTGAATTTTTGGTTTGTGTTTGGGTTGCTGGATTTTTGGTTTGTTTTTTTGTTTGTTCTTTTTGTTTGTTTGTTGGTTGGGGTTTTTTTGGTTTTTTTTTTTAAGCTGTGTCTAATGTATTTATTTCATTGAGTATGGAATTAACAGTAAGCCTAGACTGCAAAAGTCTTCTTGGTCACAACAGATGTGTTTTACTAGTGTTTATATGGAGTTGAAATGTATGGCATGGTGGATGGAAAGGCAGGATATATTAACCAGTGCAGCTCTTTTATTCTAGGTTGCTATGGTGTTCCTTCTCATGAAATCCATAGTGAATGGTTGTGTTCTCGATGCAGAAAAGAAGCCTGGACTGCTGTAAGTTTCATGCATTGCTTTCTTCTCTAACACATAAGAGATTAAGGGGGAGGTGGAGGAGGTGAGCCAGAGGCATGATTGCATGTGGAATGTAGTCTGAGTTTTTTGTCTGAACAGACACTTCCTGGAGAAAATACAATTAGATTCCACTGTAAAATGTAATAGGATATTAATAGACAGAGTACTCAAGAAAATGACTGGCTAACAGAATATCATTGTGTCTAAGAATGGTTCAAGGAAACTGAAATTTTAAATGCATATAGGAGAGAGAAAAAATGGTATTTCCTCTAAATATTTTAGGCACTTTGGTGTGTATGTGTGGGCAGCTGGAGAACAGAGAAATGGAAAGAAAATAATAAATAACAGTCAAGAATGAAATTGTTCTTTATTACATGTAAGGTTCACTGTGCTGTATTAACAGAAAAACATTTCAATTGTGAAGTTCCTAAATACCTATTATTTTATTTTTTAAAAAGTATAAAATAGTTTTATACAGCAAGGAATTAATAGACAAGCACCTAGTAATTAATAGAATCCATAAACATATACTCATTTTCAAGAAGCAGTTTAAAATTTTACATTCCACCAATTTATCAGTTGCCCTGCTAAGTCATCTAGTATTTGTTTTTCTTATCAGTTTAAGGAAATGTGATGATAAATTTTAATGGCAATGTAGCTTTTCTTCATTCCGTTGTTGAATTAAAAGCAGATATTTTAGGTGTCTTACAAATATAAATTCTTAAATGACATAGTAAAATTTTTAGACATGTTGAAAAAGGAATGAGAATTCAAACTTCAGGAAAATGCAGTGTTGCTTTATCAAACATCACGTCTTGCAGTTATGAATGTCACCCGTAAGAAATCTGCAGTTGTAGCATTAGCAAACTGAAAGTAACATTAAATATAAACAATTTGATTTTTCTTTTGTGACTGTCAACATTTTAAGGTTCTTCTGTGAGTGCTAAGAGGAAATGAAATGAAATGAAATTGAATTTAATTGAATTGGAACTGGTATTTATAATCCAGATATTGCATAATATGAGGAAAACAAAAGGAAATATGTGACTTAGAACTACTCATAACAAAAATATGGCCTAGCTCGAATGTTCAGTCCCCTGTTCCCTCAGTGAGTAGCTATTAAAATATTCATTGAATTTATTTCTACTTCTGTAGTGTGTTCTCATTTTAGTAGGAAAGGTATTCTTACTAGTTAAAATCCAATTTTCATCTTTTATTGGTAACTAGAAAACCTTGTTATTGGTTCCTTGCCAGATATTTATGAGTTTTGGATGTCCTTAAATACTTTTTTGACTATGGTTCTAGAATCAGGGAGAGTTTGGGGGGAAGAGCATAAATCTGTTCTAGCAAGTGAGATATTGCCATTAACTTAGGAGCTAATCATCAGTTAAATAGAGTTAGAAAGTCCCATTGCTCTAATAAAAACCTTTTGTTAATTTATTTTCAGGAGAGCTATATTCTAAGGAGAACATTCTTATTCATAAAATACTGTGTGTGGCAGCAATAGGACTGAATCAGATGCTTTTGTTGAAAGCACTAGAAGTTTAGAACATTGCCTTGGAATCTGATGTTAATGGCAATATAACAGTAACATATTTGAGGGAAAATTTGGAGAGAGTCTTTGTCTTTTGATGATAGTTTTTTTTTTTAACTGAAAAACAGTTAAAAAAAAATCAGGTGTTATAATTTGTTAATGCTGCACTGTAGAAACGGTTCTAAAATTTTTCTAGGGTTTTAAGTTTATTTTACAAGTCTTCTTGAACTGAAGAAGAGGACATTCAGGTAATACAACAGTAGGTGAAAGAGAAGTTCTGCAATATATGACTGGCTTGACTCATGTTCACTATGGGCCAATAAGGGGGGAACTGTGTAATAGAAAAAGGAAATTGTTGGGGAGAACACTAAAGCTTGACTTGACTGAGATTCTTCTTTGACAAACTTTTAGGGAAAAAAGTTGCATCCAAGGCCAGGATTAATTTGAGAAGAATTATGCACTTTTTACTAAATAGATTTAGTTTTGTTCTGTTATGATGCATTAAGTACCTGATAAAATGGAAGAGTTGTTTTTTTAGGGGAAGTCCTTTTTGACCAAAAATACGAGGAGATGAGATGAAGTAGTTGAAGAGATACCAAAACATAAAGCAAAGAACTGAATGCAAATCTTTTGTGAAGAGGTTTTAGTATTGGATTTTTGTAAAAGCACTCTCTGTGAACTAGAGAGTAGACTCAATACTGATTACTGGAATTTTATGTGTTAGGCAACAAGAAGTTGGTACGAGTGAAATGGAGCTCCATTTTCACTGTGCAAAGGCTAGATAGATAGTATGTGCTGCCCATTTTGTCAATTTGTATAAGCTTTGGCTATTATGTGTTTAATGGAATTGTGGTATTTTTATTGAATACTATAGCCCTAAGTAGTTAGTGCTGACAACTTTGTCTTTCTATAGCTCTAATTTGGTGACCTGAGCAAAATGAACTTAGGCTCCAGGAGAGATCTTCATTTGGTTATGTTTGTGGAACAAAATTCACATTCTGAATGACCTAAGTTGTCATTTTGTTGGGAAGTGTTAATGAAATGTTGATGATCGAATAGACCTCATTAGTATTAAATTTACTTACAACCTGTCCTGTATAGTCTGCTATCATGTAGTTTTTGTTATTAGATGTCTTTCACGTGTCAATGAGAGCTGTTCATTGTGAGCTGGAAAATGTGGAAGTGACAGATAGTAGGCATCTGTTGCACAGTTAAATAGCAAAAATCCAACAGTTTTCACAGACGTGACTAATGTTCTGCTAGTTACTCATACTTGAATGATAACACATTCACTTTTTCCTTTTTATTACTAGAGTCTTTCAAAACTTTTGAAGTGCTGAAGCAATCTCAGAACTATTAAAGATTATCTCTGAGAGTTTGCAGAGCTTAGGTGAGGTGCAGCAGTCTGGAAAACTTAATAGTGCTTTTTATAAAGGCAGGAAATGGATGACCCAAAGAATTATGTGCCAGTCAACCTATCTTGGATTCCAGAAGAAATACGGAACAAAAGATGAATCTATCAATTTCTAAACACCTAGACAATAACAGAGTACAAAGAGATATGTATTTAAGAACAACTAATTTTTTTTCCTGTGACATCTCATGCGAATAAAGAATAAGCAAAATGCCTTGTGCATCCTTTCACAGGCTTTTGATAGTGTTTTGAATGCAAGGAACAGAAGAGGTATGATGTAAATCAATAGCTGCCAAACATGCAGAAATACGGCTTTGCTTTCAACCCTCAATATCTCAAGCCTCCAGAGCCATCACTCTTACTGGGCTGTTGTAATCACTAAGAGAGTGATAATGTTACGTGCATCATTTACTAATTACTTTTCATATCCTTATGGAACATACATGGAAATCTAGATTGGTCTGCTTCTAGTTGTTTAAGGTGCTTGAACAGGAGATAGGAGAGTACATTGCATGTGAACCTACCATGGCATTAAAATTATAGGATATACAAGGTTTTTTTCAAAACTGTCGTGTGTGTTTTGGATATTATTTTGTTCACTTCTTTCAATGAAGTGAAAGAATTAATAAGAAGCATTCCTGATGCATTTTCTGTAAGGGCCTTGGGCATTTTGTGTGCTGAAGTTTACTAATTTGGGTTAAGATTACTCTCTTGGATGGATCACATTACTGTTTTGGATTGGATCCTACTGTTTTGTTGGACAATAGTAACATTACTATATTGAAGGAATGATGTAAGATATTCTAAAGGGAATTCAACAGAGATGGGTACAATAATTAGAGAGGAGTTAGTTATGGGCAGAGAAGGTAAGAGTGTCTACCTAAGCAGTAGCTCCTGCTGCCAACTGTAGTAGTGACCACTCTGGTCCCAAACTTAACATAAATCAACAGATTAACTAAATCACAGAATCATGGATATTAGGGGCTGGAAGAGACCTTTGTATGTCGTCTAGTCCCACCCTCCTGCTAAAGCAGGTTCATCTAGATCATATTACACATGTAATGTTCATGTCCAGGTGGCTTTTGAGTATATCCAAAGAAGGAGACCCACAACTTCTCCGGGCAGCCTGTGCCCGTGCTCTGTAATCTGCAGAGTGAAAAAGTTTTTCCTCATGTTCAGATGAGGCACCACTGAAAAGCATCTGTCTCCATCTTCTTGATACCTGCCCTTTTGATATTTGTAAGGTTTGATAAGATCCCCTCTCAGTCTTCTCCAGGCTTTATTATTCCCAAGTGGTCAGTCCCTTTGTCCACATTCTGTAAACTTCTTTCTCACATTTGAGTTTGTCCAGAAACTCCTTGGCTAACCATGCAGGTCTCCTGCCTCATTTGCTTGATTTCTTATTCATCGGGATGCACCATTCTTGAGCTTGGAGTAACTGGTGTTTGAATATTAGCTCTCTTGGATGCCCCTACCTTCTAGAGCCCTAATCTATGGGATTCCTCCAAGCAGATATTTGAAGAGACTGGAGCTCTCCTGAAGACCAGGGTTGCAATCCTACTTACTGCCCTGCTTCTTCCATGCAGGATCCTGAATTCCACCATCTCATGGTCACTGCAGCTGAAGCTGCTACTAGCCTTCACATCCCTAACTAGTTCTTCTTTGTTAGTACAAGATCCAGGAGCACATCTCTCCTTCCTGGCTCTGCCACCATCTGTGGCAAAAAGTTATCATCAATGCTCCACAGGAAACTCTTGGACAATGAATGCCTAGCTTTGTTGCTTTTCTAGCAAATATTAAGGTCTTTGAAGTCCCCCATGAGAACCAGGTCCTGTGGTCTTGAGGCTACTTTCAGCTCTCTGTAGATGGCCTGTAATAAACACCCACAGCAGTGCCACCCATATTAGCCGGCCCCTTAATTCTAACCTATAAGTTCTTGACTCGTTTTCTTCATCCAGCCCTGGGCAGAGCTCAATACATTCCATTTGGTTTCTCACATAAAGAGCATCCACCACCTCGACTTGTTGGCCTGTC